ATAACTCTATTTATTTATTTGAATATAAACAGACCATATCTAATTTACAGTTCGATAATAATGATAACAGTGAGACAAAATATTAGTAAAAACGGTGTTTGGATCGCGTTCGGTTTTAATAAATAATAAATTAATGAGCCTTAACGGATGGGAAAATAGGCGATTATTAAGCTACCGTTCGTAGTAATAATAATAATAATAATAATAGACAATTGTTTTTGGTTATAAATATATTAAAGTTTATAAATAGAATGATTGGCCACTTGGTCCAGTATAATCACAATTATTAAATAAATAATATAAATGGTAACAAAAATGATTTGCCTCTGGCAAAGCGCAAATAATAATCAATGCAAATATATAAATATATAAATTAAACAAATCAAATGTGTGGCCCACACAGCTCACATCAAATATAAGAATAATAGATAAATAATAATAATATGTTGGCCCTACAACGGCATAGCTAGCATAAATAATAAACAACTAGCCTTTGACGGTTAGGCCCGTCGGCCTTTACACAAATGAGATGAAAAACACGTATGGTCGACCAATACTCACATGTTACTGTGATTGATGGCGGATTTTATGCCAACGCGACCGCACCAGCACTGCGACTTTACAAATACCTACGACAGCACACCGCAGTGTATGAATAAAAAATAAGTCACAGCTACTAGTACGTGCGACCAGCAAAACACAGTCACCAACAAAGATGGAAGGTCTACAGCTCCGGACAATGACAAAACGAAATAAAACTACGTTATTCACAATGGCTGTTGGTAAGTGACCACCCTAGAACACGGTAACTTTGTGGAGGCAATACTATTTGCGCAGAACGACCCTTACCAAACAGCCTACAAGAAGAACATGAAACACAGAAAACTAGGTTTTACAAAGATGGCTGTAGACCAACAAAAGAAAACTTGAATACGGTACAGTTGATGTGCACAAACGGAGTATAGCGTTATGTTTACATTATTCTCGAATATTTGTTAATTTATATGCCTCATGTGCACATGATATATTAATTAAATTAAATTTGTTATAAACAAAGTAAATATGTCAAATGGTACGCAGTTGTGCATATTTTTTCGTTTTCATATACATAAAAAATTAATAATTTTGAAACTGCTACACTATTTCTAATTTCTATTTCTATAATTCGTTTTAAAAATATTATAATAATTAGCTTATCGAATTAATATTTAACTTCGGCAATTCTCGACCACGAGAGGGTCGTCACGACTGCTCGTATATTTGTAAACTTATACTGTGTTTTCCACCTCGGTACGCGAAATGTGCACTTAAACCACGGGTAGTTGTGAATTTGCACCGTTAATAATAATAACTGTATACCTTAAATTTTTACTTTCAAAACTATACCTATGTCCATCTTAATTATTTCACCGTGATTGAGCCTCACGGCGTTTATATTAATAAATAAATAAATTAATGTCCCCGCTACCGCAATAACTAGTGTACCGAGTAGTAGGTATGTGAAATGTAACTCAAGAGCGTCGTTGGGTATTGCACCAATTATAACGAACAAAACCGCCTTACCTTTCTGTCGAACAAGGTAACACTTAAAAAAATGTATTGCTTCGTGTCCAGCATTAAATAAACGTATTTTATCCACTGCCGTTATTGACGCACATGTTCCCTGCCGTACACGAAGCATAAAACGAAATAAACGGAGTAGTAATATAAACGTTTTACGATTGAATTTCAGATAGGTACTATATAATATAGGAGTTGATTGCATGCAGAGTTGGGCAACAACATATCCAAATAATAGACATGAAATAAAATCACGAATAATTTATTATTTTGTACCTAAATAAAGAATGATATTTTATTCTAAATAATTATATTTCGAATAAAAGAAAATAATAATTCTAAATAGTTTCATTCGTGAACAAACTATTTTTTCTGAATAATCAGTGAACAACATTGAATTTTCATATAGCAAAATTATAATAACAATACGTATATTTATATATTTATACAATGGTGTCGGGTCGATCATGATAGTATCAATAATAATAATAAATAATGTCGTCACTGCCGTTCGTAGTTGAAATACTGAAATCATCCATAACTTTCTAATTAATTGCACGCACTTATAGAAATATAAAAAATAATATGATGAACTGTCGATGTACAATAAACTACAGTTGCATATTGCTTTAAAATTAAAATAAATCGACGAATACAACTTTTGACTACTTACGTTTGTCAATTAATATTATCTGTAAAAATTGACGTACATAACTTTATCATGTCATATAAATCTTAATTTATAAAAATTACAATTACATTAATCACTAAATTTCCGTCATCACGTAATATGTTATAAATACGGAATACATCGATTTCAATAAGTCGAAATTTTAAGTTACGTACGAAACATTCGTGTTAAATATACTAATTTATAATAAATAACTTTTAAAGAATAATAAATAAATAAACCTAACTCTACATCCTAACTCCTGTATATCCATGGAGCGCTCCCTTAGATTGATAATAATTAAATATAATAATTCTATAGAAGCAATGAAAGTTTAAAAATTAAATCATTTTATTTTGAACCTTAGTTTAAATATGATGTTAATGTACTAGGACTGTGCTTTGCTCGTACACAGACACAGACACATAGGGGGGGAGGAATATAGGGCTCTATCTAGTGATGGGAATTTTACCGTAAAAAAATTTTCGGTAAATTTATCTGTTAGTCAATTTAAGTAAATTATTATAAGAGTGTATATTTTTTTGTTTACTAATTTATTACGACCACAATAACATGTTTATAACTCAGCTAACCTGGACTAAACTACCACTGGACACTTATCCACACTTAACCTCAAGTATTATATTTAAATATGTATAAGTATGAATAGTATGATGAATAAAATATGTAAATGGATTGGATGTATAGCGACGTTATGACGTTCATCAATTTTTTTTAGCAACATTGCTTCCACTTCAAGTAATGGGGAAATTGGAATATGAGTTATAAAATGTTGCTTGATTTCATTCAAAGCTTCTGGTACTACAGAAAGTCTTGGCATATCATTCTCAAGAGTTGTAATTCAATTAACTATTGGAAGAACAAGAATGATAAAATGTTCAACATAGTTCTAATATTAGTCTGATAATATCTTGCGTTTCACTGTTATATCTAACTTTTCTATTATTATAACAAAAATAAAATGGATATATATGTATATATTTATAATGAATTTAAATATTTTTTTCAATTTATTATCATTTATATCATCAGAAACTACCTAATTCTATAGTGTGTGTTTTTTTTTTTTAAGACTTTCTAAACAATTTATGAATGAGTCTTATCTGTATTTTACTGGAAGTTTAAGGGAACATTTGATGTTTTTTGCTTTTTGAATACGTGTAAAATTAGCTATAAAAATCAAATATTACTAGTGTTAATGTGCATATGAAAACATTTAAAATAAATGGTCACTCGATTTTTAGAACGGTAAAAAATATTTACCGAGTGAAAAAAAAATATCATTTACCAGATAAATTTACTGAGCTCCCATCTATAACTCTATCACATTATACCATAATCGTTTTTTATGTCGCTTGTCGATCGATTACGATAAAATAAAATATTGTTCACGACGATGTATGCATAATAATCACATTATCGGCCGACAAGGTAAACGTTGTTGTTTTTATTACACGTGCTATATAAACCATGATTAATTAGCGTTTAGTTATTCCAATCGAACGAATGCTGTACATTTACTGACTGTAGCGATCTTCGTGCAGGTTAGGTTAACCCCACACCTGACACCAAATTTATGTAGCGAGCTCGTTGTGCAGAACACTACGATCGCTGACACATTAATTATTTAACGACGTAGCACGTTGTATGAAATCTTGAGACGTGGGTTGAGAGAGATAGGTAGGTGAATAAATTTAACACTGGTACATTAAACTTATAAACTTACTGTTTTTATTAATTTATCATAATAAATTAACAAACAGTTAAAACACAAAAAAATTAAATAACAAGTTATTCTGGGCTAAGAATTATATACTCGCGGCGATGTGGCTGTAACAAAGTCCACGACGAGCAATAATTTATTTAACAGGGGAAATGATCAGTCTAACTACCTATCTACATCTGAATAATGCTAAATGCTCAACCCGTATTTATACAGGTTCCAATGACGTAAGAGTGGCCTAATTCTAATATTACTTTATTTTGCCCTCTATTTAGCATTATTATGTAAAAACGTGAAACTACTTGTTGTTTTCACCTTTACCCTGGTTTTCCTGCGTATATGCGAATTTAATATATTATCTATTTTACACATATACTATTTTAATCTATTAAATAATCAAAATATTATTTTGATTATTAAATTTAGCTGGACCTTGGCGAATTTATTAATATGCGTAATAAGTTATTTTTGATTATTAGATATTAATTAATTAAATGCTGATTATAAAATACGCCTAGCCTTGGGCTTACTACATCCCTCCCCTCTAAGCTGAAAGTCTCTGACTTTCCCAATAAAAAGAAATAAAAATAAGATGACTAGCTATCACCTTATGATTTAGTAACAGCTAAAAATCATGCTTAGGTCTAATATACATTTTTTTTTTCTTTTTCGGCTACACACGCTGAAAGTGGTATTAATTTATATAAACTTAATTCATGTTGATAAGCTAAGGGAATATTTAAAATAAACACAATGTTATCATTATTAAAATAAACCGTCAAATCTGCTAATTTCATTAAATCATAAACATGTACTCTACTTCTAGTGGCATACTGGTCCCACTCGGTAGAGCTAGTTTAATGCTTTTGAATTGCTCTAATAACTCTTTTGTACTTATCAAACTAGGATGTATTTGTCCTGATCTCGCACTTTACAGAATCTCGACAACCCTATTTACTTTCATCAACTGTATAATAAATAACATAAAGAAAAAACATAATTGTACGAAATATGAATATAGATTTATTAATAACAATGTTTTATTAAGTTTTCGTATCGATAACGTCTTATAATATAATCGAAAATACATTTAGTAAATCTTACATCCGTGCATGGATCATGCGCGTATGTAACTTTGTGTTTTTTATTACAAATTAGTTTGTGCGTTTCTACAAGGTTCAATAATCTACCTTGCTTATCAATTTTTCCCAAATCAAATTCGCATATCATTTTTTTATTCTTTAAATTTTCTAATTGCAAATAAAACGATTGATTATTATTTTTATCGTAACACAATATGTTGAGCATAGTGTAATCATAAATATTTAATTTTTTTAATATATCCTTATCACTATGCCCACAAAATAGTATAATTACGCAAACCTTCGACCCTTTATCTAAATAATTCTTTATGAATTTCGGGTTTAATGTATTTAACGAAGTTTTAATACTGATTTTTAATTGTTTCAAGCACGCCTCCCTAATTTCGGTTTTCTTTTTAAATATCCTGTGTATTTCCATCATGGCTCGGTGCATTTCACGGTCACTCATTGGTCTGACCTCCTCATGCCCTTTTGGTAAATACCATGGTCTTCCTTCCAATTTGGTTATTTTAAATTGGTCAAGACTATTGGAAATAGCTCCGGATATTAATACTTTAGAGTATCTGTCAATAGGAAAAAACTCGAAATCCAGGATGACGAACTTATGAGATATTTCCCTGATAACAAAATAAAATAACTATATTTCCTATCTAACTAATTTATTATTACTAATTTATTTTTTTTTTATCGTATATATTTTCCTATAATTCGGTTTCGTAAAATAATTTCACATTATTTATGTGAATGCGATAACCCTTTCGACCTTTGTTCACTGTAATGTTTTCATTATCATGTAATTCTAACACTTCGTATGGCCCCGTCCAATTTCTACTTAACGTATTACGTTTATTATGTTCCTTAATTAGAACTTTGTCACCTTCTTTTAATTTAATTTCATGAATATTTTTATCGTGATATTCTTTATTTACCACTTTTTTCTTTATTAAGTTTTCTCTCGCTATTTTATGAGCCTCCTGCATCATTCGTTTTAAATCTATGACGTAATTGTCGTAATTATATTGTGGTTCCGGCTCTTTAAAGAATGTTGATGGAATATTTGGTTTTCGCCCAAAAACTAATTCATAGGGAGTATATGATGTTGAACTATGCACGGTAGTATTGTAACAGAACATTGCATAACATAATAAACGGTCCCAATTGTTATCTTTATCGACAAAACTACGTAGGTATGTTTTTAAAGTTTTATGTGATCTCTCCAAAAACCCATTAGTTTGAGGATGCCACGGAGTGGTTTTAGATTTATCGATGTCCAGTAACTTACACATCTTTTTAAAAATATCAGATAAAAAATTGGTAAATAATTCATGTTATGTGTTAGCATGCACACTGTATACTGCTTAAGTATTTAGAACCCTCTTAGGAGTCAATGTCACCACCCTCATCATCACCATCGTCCACATCAGTCAGCCCTTCCACACTCTTTAGATCGTCATCATCATCATCGTCTTTTGTTTGTGGTACTTTTTTCTTTTTCTTTTCGTCCTTCTTTATTGGCGAGCTTTTAATGATATCAATATCCTTAATGTATTTTCCAAATTTTATTAGCCAAGTGTTACTGGCTCTTTTTACGGCACTACTGAGCTTTCCTTCTTCCAGAATATCCATCCCTTTGATAGCAGCTACTCTTACATGGTCTTCGATGAAGGACCCATTATAGACTATGTTCATATACTTCCAGGTGCTTTCTGCTAACTCTTTTTCTGATTGTTGTTGCTTGTTATTTGAAGAGATTTTCCTTGAAAAGTAATAAAGGTATAGAGCATGCGCATTTAATAGTTTTCTAGTATACTCTTTTTCTATTGGTATAATGGAAGTAAAATGTTGACACATCATGGCCAGAGGATATCCTGAGCTTATGGAATGCATTTCAGTTATACTCACTACTCTATTTTCAGCAATCATGGTGTACTGACATGCTGCTGTTGGGAAGCAGGCTGCCACTCTAGAGAGGGTCACTGCTTCAGGATCCTTATTCGGTTTGTCAACAATGTTGTATGTGGCCACTAACTCTCAACAGATTTGACAGAGTATAATAATAAAGATAACTTACACTTTGTTCATTTTCATTTGTAATAAGTTATTTTTGATTATTAGATATTAATTAATTAAATGCTGATTATAAAATACGCCTAGCCTTGGGCTTACTACATGACCATAAATCGATGTCTATAAAAATGTTGTACCTAGTTATGTTTAGAATCCAAACGATCGCTTTTGATCGAGTCTATAACGTATGTAATTATAATACACAATAAATTAATTATTATAATAATTTTTGCACTTGAAATTTGCGAATGCCCAAGCGAATATTTGGAATTATAATAGTTAATCGCTTGTCGTAGATATACTATCAATACATGTGTACTACTTGTGCCGCGCGGTCAATAATTAAAAAATGATCACGCAGTGAGAATATTATCGCCACGGGCGCGTGCACGAGTTTTCCACAGGGTGTGCACAATTGTTTTATTACGGATTCATTGTCCAATCACGATACCCAAGTAAAATTCTCTCTACGCAATAGGAGGTACATTGCTAATAATTTTTGTTTTTATTTGTGTGTATTCTCAATGGTAACGAAAACAAAAATAAAAATATACGTAAATTTAATATTACCCATTGCTTAAAAACAATTAACTAATAACTAATTAGTTAATTTAGACACAACTGATGTTACGGCGTTTATTTGCACTCGTGTCACACTATAGTCAATGATTCTAATAGTATTATTTGTAAATAAATCGGAAATACCTACAGGCACAACATATTGCAGGGTGTGCATGCCTTGCACACCCCGCGAGCACGTTATAAAATCTGCGTGTAATCACTAGCAGGGGAGAGTCTAGGGGGAGGATAAATGAGATCAGCTGATCCACAGTTAATATTTGTCGTAAAAATTATCCTGTTGAAAACTTGTTTCAATTTGTTTTAATATGTCGAGTGTGGGTCAAAGTTAATCTACACTGGGACAGATGCCTCATTTGTCACCGCCAAATGACGCCTCTGGTTTATTTGTATAAAACAATAAAACATTCTTTATGCCGAACCCCGTGTAAGAAGGAATCCTTCATAAAATAAAATAAACGTTAATGTTTTGAATGATGATTACGATCAAACTTAAAAACACATTATACGATCATATTTTGTTTTTATTTTATTTTTGCTACAAGGTATACATTAATAATCCGGTTTCAGCCCTAATAAGTGGCCTCTTGAAATACACTTCTCGAACTGTGGATCCGCCCCCCGAGCACGAGTGAGAATGGAGCGCGACTTCTGATATTATGGTAGCTGCAATCGATCGGCACCGTCGGCCACAGGTGAGAATTGTGTTAGTTCACACGATACAATGGACTTGGAAGGTACGGCCTCGGTATTGCAACAAGTGGAAATATTATCTGCGTACATTACACAATGTTAAGTTGCATTAGGTACCGGTCGCGGTTTTTCCGCGGAGCGGTCGATGCCGCAGTTCTTCCGGTCGCGTCGCTCGTATGTGCATCGCTGCAGTTTCCCGTGCGTCTGCGACGGTTAGGTGGTATTTCGAGTCTTAGCCAAGAGGGGGTGTGACATTTTTATTGAAAATCGAATCTTATTGTCGTGATTTTTTTTTGATTTTGGTATTCATAATTAAATGGTAAAACTAAAACATTTTGTGTCAGATGGCATGTAGGGGGGGTGTTGAGGTTTTTTCTCACAGACCATGTCGGGTTCAATGATTTTAGCACTCCCGAGTTGGGGACTGAATGTGCGCCTATGCACCCTATCGCGACATCCTCCCCTGTAGGGCTGCTACGCAACAATAATATTATTTATTAAGAGGACGCCAAATAAATCAAGGCCCTAAATGGGCTGTAAAAAACTTAAAAAAAAAAAAAAAAAAAGAACGCCAATTCGCGTCGTTCACACGCGCGTGCAACGTAGATAGTTCGCGTTCGGTAGTTTTTTTATCGTACTATTTTTACGTACACGTGACTCGTTTAAAAGTCGAAAAAACTCGGAAAAGGCCGACCGTAAAAACGCGGATAACGTAATCGTACGATCAAACTTATAGGCAGGGTGGGTGGGTTGGGCTTAAAGTTTGATTATACAAGTCAATTTATTCCAACGTCAAAGCTAATACGACGGAGCCGTCGAATCCGGTGCGCGTCGTCCGCGTCCGTCAAGGGGTGCGTGCGGGTGGTGACGTCCACCCGAGCGACGCTGCTCTGCGGATTTTTCTCTCCCCCGGGCGACGAGAGCTCTATCGATCGACGCGAGTGTAGCGCGCGCGCGCGCTCGTCGCCCCGACCGTTCCGCGATTCGTGTGCGCGTTGACCCGGACGCGCTCGCGGAGGCCCTGGCGAGGCGGCCGGTGGTCGGCCTCGCCGAACGCGCGATGGCGCCGCGGACGGAGAACACCGACCGCGGTACCGGTCGGCTAGATCGAGCTGCCGTTACCGTCTGTCGGAAATAATCGTCGCCGCCCCAACGACCGTTTCGCGTGGGCGCGCGCGTTCCGAATTACGTTGTGCTCGCGTGCAGCGGCGTACTTACGGGGGGGGGGGGGTATTTGGGGGTTAAACCCCCTTGGTAATTTTTTCCCTCAGGAACGTCTTAACGGATCAGCACTTTTATCAGTTTACATCGGGCAATAGACATAAATACTGATGAAGTAATTGACTACGCCTAGCAAATAAACAAAGACAATTTGATTTTGTATTATAATTGCAAATAATAAATAATTATAAAATCAAAAATCAAAGGGGGTATGGGGGGCTTTTGTGTATGTCATCCCCTTCCTATAACAATTCCCAAGTACGCCACTGCGCGCGTACGTTTTCCACGGCACGAAATATCGTATCGATTTCTGTTCACGCGCAGGCTGAACGTGGAGAGGAGGGGCAGATGGGGCTGCAGCCGAGGGCCCCGGGGCCTGACCAAGTCCACTGCGTCTTAGTCATGGTACGAGCTGTATATGGATCACCAACATGGATCGCCCTAATAACCTATCCAAATAATTATGGTGCGTGCTGTACAGATGTTACGAGTCTACGATAAAGTGAATACTACAATATTGATCTAGAACGTAAACAAATAACATTTTCAAGAAAGACCCATAGGCTATAAATAATTGTTTTCATTTAGTCTGTGGAAAAACCGTGACAGTGATTACATTATCTCTATGGTATAGACATTTTAAAAGAAGACACTGGATGTCAGTGGGAAGTTTAATACCTCGTGCGAGAAAAGCCAGGATTTATTTGTCCCTGGAGCCCTTGATTTCTTTCCGCGGTTCTGTTTACGCGCAGACTGTTTTGCAAGATGCGATCGATTAAAACATCGCTTCGATATAGCAATACATTTTAAACGTGAATTCATATTTGAAATAACATTAAAATTGGTTTGATAAAAAATTGGACTGCGAAACGCTTATATGAGAAACAAAAGCTAATTATATATCGTGTGATTTGTCCGATACTAATTACAAAGTTATGGTTACAAAGGATATTTCTCGAAAGGTTATTATTTTTTAAACATCTATTAATTTATATTTCGTATGCACCTTCAGTATTTCGATATCTAAACAGAATATTTATTGGAATTTTTTTTTTTGTTTTTACATTGGATAATATAATATCTTTTTCGTCTAATAACAATGTTAAAATACCATAATTGTTAATGTGTATCTCTTTTATGAAAAAAAATAAAATAAAAAAAATATTAACTATAGGTACTAAATGTTTTTAAATTTTTTATTTAATTTTTTAATCAAACTATTTTGCTAGTTTTTTTTTTATTTAAATTATAGTAATACATTACAAGTAGTTTTTTTTCTTAGGTCTTCCATATCGATACGTCTGGACGATATGAAAGTAAAAGTAATTCTGACGTGTATTCTCAAGTATGACAAAAACTGTGTACATAAAATACGCGCGACGCGTATGTACGCGTTCATGTGGAACGAGCCTAACGCGATACATTTTTGCTTGGAATTCGATTTCGTGCTGTCGGTTAAATATTTTTCTAATAAGAACACTCGTCGATCATTTTGACGTGTAAACCAAAAGCACACTCACGCAAAATTGATACACAAGGTGAGAATTGTCGTTCCCAACATTTTTTCGATTTTATCGTATCGTGAATGTATTTTCTTGTTTCTTATGCCCGTTGACACGATTTGAACTACAGGGATTGCGCCAATGATCGATGATTTTCCTTCTATTTTTTCTGTCGTTCTTGATAGAAATTCATTGCTATCTAGTCGGCGAACCTGGAAAATCCT